TTTTTTTTTTTGCTCTTTTTTACTCTATAAAAATAGTTGTTTTTCTTTTTCAATCACTCATCTTAGCAGTAGGATATACATGAAAAGAGAAATAAATTAAGTTTGAGTGAAAATGTACATTTTTTGCACTCTCTGGGCAACTGACTCAGTGACTCAAAAGAATCCGGTTCACTTTGGTGAGTGACTCATTGAAACTCAATTCAGTAAAAAGAATCAAATTTACCACCATTACCCCAGATCATTATGACGCCCCTGTGCAGGGTGGTGTGTAGAAAACATCTCAGGTGGGATCTGCTTGTCTTGCCATGTTGGAAACCATCAGGACCATCAAGGTTACATTTTTTCTCATCAGAGAATAAAACTTTCTTCCACCTTTCAATGTCCCATGTTTGGTGGTTTCTTGCAAAGTCCAAATGGTCAGTTCTGTGGTGTTCAAGGAGACAAGGCCTTTGGCGTTTTTTGTTTTTGAAGCCCTTCAGTCTCAGATGCCATCTGATGTTATGGGGCTGCAGTCAGCACCAGTAACAACCTTAGGATCAAGGTCAAGGATTACCCAGTGTCTTGACAGACAGCCAACTGGATCCTCCGACTCAGTGCTGTGGAAACTTTTTTTGTCTTCCACTTGACTCTTATGTTCCATAACCCATTTAAAAAATTCCAAATGACTGTCTTACTGCTTTCCACCTCAGCTGTGATGGCATGCTGCCAGAGACCCTGCTTATGCAGTTCAACAACCCGACCACGTTCAAAAAGGAAACTTAATTTTGTTTTTGCCATCAGAACATTATGACAGTGTGACTATCAGACAGAAAATGAAAATGAATCCATATTTTTGCACAGATTTGTCAAAATGTCTTTGTCGAAATGGCAAATCTGTAATTGATGTTATATAAAAATGCTATCATTAGTCTCATTATATATGAGCTTATTAATCAAGGCTAAACCATTTAGATCTGTATCTATAAATTACATAATAATAAGGCATAATGCTTTATAAATGAAGTATTCACCATTATCTCACTAATGCTTAATACAGTGCAGTTATGTGTATGTTTCAGTGTATAACTACCATCGGGTTAGATATTTAGCGAGGGATTGCAGATGAAAAGAAATAACAGTGTTTATTAATGTACACTGTGCCTGTTAAAAATAAACAAATAAAAATCAAAATATGTAATGTTATATAACAAAGTAAGGATTTTTAAAAAAATATTCATTTTACAC